TGTCCTCGCAGCTCCCTGTCACGGAAGCTAAAATGCCTTGTTGGTATAATCTGTGTGCTGGAAGCTTGGCGCTCACAGCTCCCCGCTCACTAAAGGCATGTTCCTACACAGCTAGGTGGAAGCCTTGGTCACTCCTCAGCTTCTGGCCTGCACAAAAATACAGCTCCCCCAACCACCATCTCTTCCTGGGGGACAGAACAGTAGCTCAAATCATGTCTATTTGACATGAAGCAGAAGCTATCTGGAGAGAAAATATCAAAGAATTACTGATAGTTTTCCTTGTGGTTGAAGCGTTCTTCCTAGTCCAAGCCTAGCTGAAACTAATTCCAGCAGGAGTCACAGCTATCCAGCCATGCAACAAGGACCTGACTCAAATCAAACACCACAGGCTCATTTCGCACTACCTGACCCCAAATGTAACTCTCTTGCTTTAGAAGGGGAGTAAGAAACCTGCACAGAGAAGCCTCTAAGAGTGAAGTGTTAACAGAAATCTCCAGTCTGGTCTGAAGTCCCTCATGTGCTTCAGATGTGTGCAAGGGATGCAGCCTGCAGGTGGGGTGTGGCTTCTATCCCAGGTCAGGCTGGAAACAGGGTGCACAGAAAGAAGAGGGATCACAGGTGAAAAGCAACAGAAACAGCAGACTTTGTGTGTCTGACACTTAAAGCACGACACCAAGTTAGTTCAGGTAGCCACTGAGCAACATACAATTACATGGGCAACTCATGCAGGGAAAAAGCTGATGTGTTAATTCCTATCATGTTTGTTTTAACAGAGCTTTTATCATCAATTAAACTGGGCTGGAGCATGGTCCTGTCCATGACAATTTTTTTTGTGGTTGTAGTTATGAACATGTGCTTAACCTAGAGTACAGAAACTGTACATTTATTAAAAGGCTCTTCCTAACTTCATGTGTTTTCCCTGAGGGATGCCTCTCACTCGCTGCAGTCCCTTTCCTATTAAGCAGCCCTCAGTGGTTACATTTCTGTGGGGGAGGAGTTCAGGGAGACTCAGCCCTTTCCACGTGTTCTGAGACTGGCTGCTGCATAACAAAATAAAAGATACATTTATGTTCTCTGCAGTGGCTTAAGCTCCTCTGAATACTGTCTTTCTGCCATGATCATCTGTTGGCCTTACAGGCTGGCAGGCTTCCTGTGCCTGATGTGGTTGACGATTTATCTTTCTGGATTTTTTTTTGTTTGTGTTACCACCAAATTGTTGGCAGGTTTTTTTGAGTTGCATTTTTGGATTGAGAGGAGGTAATGAAACGGTGATGCTATGGGTCGGTGTTCTCTAGCACTGAACTTCCTCACGCCTATGTGCATCATGAAGCTCTTGCTCCTTTGCAATGTCACATTTAAGGCTTGAGTAAAATATATTTTTGAGTGCCTTTATATTACCTAGCCAGGCACCTACTAGTGAGCCTTGCTGTTTTGGAGCATGTGTACTTGTGTATGAAAGCTCTTTTTGTTACCATGGTTTAGAGAACACATATTTCTCCAATAGTGTGTCTAGAAACAGAAATAATTACTTTTAGTGCACTATTGGTATTTTCAGTACATTGTTCTGAATTCACATTATACTCTCTGAATGCCAGTATCAGTGAGGATTTGCCAAAAGCAGCTGCCTGCAGTTCCTACTTATTTACTGTTCACTGCTTGCTCAGCATGAGGAATGCAAACATGAGGAGTCCAGTGGAGATTAGGTGATGATTAGACTGGTCCCCAGCTCCTGTCCTGAGGCTGTAGCAGGGTTTTTCTGCCTCTTCCCAAGCTGTTGCCCTAACCTGCTGTCTCACCTGCCCCAGCTATAGGCCACATCTTGCTTCCCAACCCTCTCATTCCCTCTCACACTAACCATGCAGCTTCTCTTTTGTTAAAAAAAATAAACAAATATTGCAGTTAATGTTTTCCTGAACTGAATACTTTATAGAAAGAATTAAGTAGGTTTTTTTCATGTTTAATGCATGCCTATTGTCCTAAAACAGTCCTGTAAATACACAGGAGAGATCCTGTCAGAGGCATGAATAATTGTACTCCAGCTCAACCAAAGATTGATCAATCCTTACTTTCATTTATTTCCTGGCCTCCTCCTTAGTGGACTTTCTGCAATTAAAAAAAAATGGATTTTTTCTAAATAGTCACAAAATGCTGCATGCACAAATGTTCTTTAGCATCTCGCTTCAACCTCCTGCTGCTGCTTGGAAGCTGTGCTGTGCTTGTGGCAGAAACATTGCATACATTAATCATCAGGGAAGATGGTGCCAAGCAACTAGGTAATAGCTTTACTAATATTTGTGCCTTAGAAGATTGGGAAACAACAACTGAACTTTAAAAATCTTTGTTAAAATTTAGTTTGCTGAAAAGAGCTCATTATTCCAATGTATGGCAACACATCAATACAAAATGTGCTTATCAAACATCAGGCAAAGCCAAGGCTGCTGGTAACTCACTCCTGTCTCCACACCATTTTAGGGGTACCCTGAAAAAGGAGCCACTCAGAGGTTTTACGTAGGGGTGCATCCAGGAAAGGCTCCATCTCTGGAGGCCAGACCCACCAGAAAGGCTCCATCTCTGGAGGCCAGACCCACCAGCAGAGGGAAGAAAGAGTGGTGTTGATGCAGCTGGGAATTCCATGAGGCTGGACGCAAGTGCTGCTAAAGTTGTGTTTCACTGCAGCAGAAGACAAGCTCAGCCCCACCTGGAAAAGTACTGCCTAGCAGAGGCTGTTCTGTATACTGCCTAGCAGAGGCTGTTCTGTACTGCTGGAAATGCAATCCTGCACATATTGCTACCATCTCATCTTTTTCAGACATACCTTTTCAGGTATTTGCTTCTGCCTTATGCTGTATAGTTTCTGGCTATCTTCATGGATAAGATTACTTTTTTTTCATTTAAGTTTGGATATATTTGAAAAATAAAGGAATGTCTATTGTGTTTGTCTGTACCACCAGACAATGTCATCAACCGAAGAAACTATTTCCATTTCATAATATAACATCTCCATTGGAGAAATTTAATTGGAATTGCTTGTCCATTTATCACTTCATGTTTGATTTAATGGCAAACTCCTACAGGCTTAAGTAATACAATGAATTTAACATGTAAATACAATAATCCATAATTAATTAAGAATGTCTATACTTGAACAGCAAATGTGGTTAAATAGGAAGGAAAATCATAAGGAAAACATAATTTCTTTTGATAAAAAGCTGCAATTTGTTTTTCGTACTTCAATCATTAAATTCACAGCACAGAACAACCTTGGATTTTTGAATTCCCCTTACACTTCCTTTTCATATGTTATGACTTCAGACAGTCAATTCTCTTGTCTCACTACTAAAAATAAAGGGAAAATAAATCTGGAGTCATAAAACTGTTACCTTCTAGCTGAGTTCACATAAAGGAGAATAAAATAGAGACAGTCCATCACTAGAAAACCAGTGATGGGAGAACTGTACTTTTTCAAAAAAGAACCCCTACATGTCATTTTTTTTGCTCAGTGACATGAATTGTGGTGTTGAGCAGTTACAGTTCAAACACATAGAATTCAGAGACAATCACAAAAAGGCAAAGGATTAATATTGTGTTCACAATGGTAAACACCGAGCTGTTGCCTTCAATCTGACTGAAAAATTGCCTGAAATTTTAGACACATCCTGAAAAACTTTCAAGAATTATGCTTGTTTCAGTCCCAATATTTGAAAATAATGTAATAATACACTCAGTAGCAAAATTCAAAGAGTGTAGATTAAATTAATTTCTAAAGAATAAAAATAGTATATGCCCTTTTTTTGCAAGTTAGTATAGTCAGTTAGGATGCTGCATGTAATGCTACAGCATTTCAGTCACACCAAGTCACGTGTGACAGAGAAAGGCAAAAGTTCTTGCTTAGTCCAACAAGCCTGATATCATGATAAAGTCTAGGAGGAAAAGACAGTTTTTAAACAGACTCCTTGTGTATGTGCACTCTTATGTGCACTTCAGTTCTTATCTGGGTGTTGTTTTTCCAGCCTGCCTTACATTACTTCAGGGAACTGCTGCCCCAGATCCATTCCCAGAGTGTTTACCCTTGGTCCGAGTCACTCCTGTAACTTTGTGACAATAAGATCTTCTAATTGATTCTTCCTTACAAAATTAGTATCTGGAAGGGGTTCAGAGCTTCCTCAGGATCACAAATCTCAGCTCCTTCTCTGGTCTCCTGAGCCTTTTACACATCTTGTTTTTATTGTTCACTGCTGTGGATAAAGCCCTGGGCACTCCTTACCAGGAGGTGTTGTTGTTGCCGTATCTCATAACAGGGCCAGTTCCACCTGCTAAATCACTAAAACCACTTTCTTTTCCCCATTAGTAATTAATTTTGTATTTCTTGTTATGGCACAGAAAGTCTGATTTGAAAGAGGGGGGCTTTATCTTTTTTTTTGGGTTATCTAAGTCTGAACACCCTTGTCTGACTGGTATCACTGCACCCTTCAGTTCATACATTTGAGAGCCTAAGTAAGCAATGGGCTCTGTAAATCTCAGTTTGGTGGTGACCATGGAAGAAAACATTTCTTTTACTTATTTTTTGTATTGATTCTGTATTTGTAAAAGATCATGCAACACTTCTTTATCCAACATTCCGAAAAGGAATCCGTATCCAGAGCTAGCAGCAGCACCACAGAAATACCATTAATTAGGAGCAATTTTTCCTTCACACTAGGGTTGGAATCATCACTAGTAAATGGGCCACAAATTGAAAAATGAAGAGATAAAGTGCTAATAGCTTTGTTGATTTTATGACTTAATGAAGCAGGAGACCTATAAAGCATAGTACAATTGTGCTTGATTAAAATAATGAATAATATAATGCATTGTACACAAAGGAGCAACAGTTCAGTTTAATGCAGATGGCCTGACTTTGGGGAACTTGGGTTTATCACACTAATAATATAATGTAATTTACATGGGCCTTATAATCCAAATATATTCCTTCCTCTCTGTATGAGAAAAGGGAGACTCACAGACGTTGTATGAATCCTGTTGCAGTGAACATGGGACCTTCTGGGGACAGAGGAGAGTGACTCTGTTTCTGGAAACCCTGGACACCTCTGGGTAGAGAAACTGGACCAAAACTTCTCTGCAGCCCTATAGCTTCTCTCTTCCTCAAGTGAGACAGAAAAAAAAAAAGGAAAATTAATTTTCTAGGACTTTTTCCCTCCTAACTATTTTCTTCTGTGGATATTTCTATGCAAATATATGATGTGGCCCAGGCAGTGCCTTCTGTACTGTGTTCCAGTATGGATATCAACCCACATGGGCTTTCACTCACTCATCATCCACACATTTGCATTTGTGGAGCTTTTATGTAATAGGGCACAGAACTTGCTACAGTTCTCTAGGTTTGACTAGTAGAAGGAATAGTTAATGAAGAATAAATGAGGCATCTGACTTTTGAAAAATCTTGCATCCTAGCTGTTGTAAGATTGTGCCAGACTCCTGAGATTTCTGTCCTGCTTATCCTTGTTATAGCTTTGAATCGTCTTTTAACCAAATCAGCAAGGAAATTACCTGAGATCCTGCTCTAGTCCTTTCCTGTGAATAAAACATAGATATAGTTCTAAGGCAGCTGAAGAAAATATGCAGAAACTTGGGTAAGCTAATTTGTTCAAGGAAAAAAACCCCACTTTATTCCCTCAGTTCGTGGAAGAAATAAATCCACTATGTGATGTAGAAATTATTTAGCTTCTCCCACAAAATAGATGAAATTTTCCAAGTGATTTTGCATAGCTAAAATAGAAGGTTTTTTTCTTGTGCTTCCTTTCCCTGCAAAATTTTATTTCTAATTGCTTAGTACTGATCATTAGCAGTTTGTGAGAATGTGCAGCACTGTTGTTGATGATATTGGATATTATACCAAATTCTACCCATAACAAATGGGGCTTGGAACAGTTTTTGCTCATTTTCTTACAAAACAAACTATTTTCTCTTTTCCATTCCCTTCCTGATGATTCCCAGAGCGTCAAATATATCAATTTTCTAGCTGAAATATGGTTTTCAGAGAAAAAAGCAGCATGAAATGAAATTGCCCTGTGCCACCCCCTTCCCCACTGTGGCCTTCTGACAGCATCCTGTTCATGTTTAGAGAAAGCTGAAAACATGGATTGGCACTTGGTTTGCACAGCAACATCACCCTGTCAGGACAAATGTCGTGATGTGGCCGTCACAATAAACAGAATATGAACTAAAACAGCATGGGAAGGAAGCACTGCTCTGTTTTCTGTGTCATGTATGGGCAGACAAAGGATTTGGCCAGTTCCCTTCAGTGCAGGGGGTGCTCTTCAACAGCAGGGATTTTGTGAGACATTGTGGCATGACCTTCTCACCTGAAATCCTAAGTGTTCTTCCCAGGGTTGTGCCCATCAGAGCTGCTTGGAGGGTTGAGACTGTCCTGCAGAAATAGTCTGATCATATTAAATTGATTTATTTAATGTTCTTCATATTTCTTTGCACAGAAACCCACAAAAACCTGAACCTGTCAAGCCTTCTTAACACAGGGAGCATAGGAATTTGCACTTGCAAGGTTTGGGAAGCAACAAACCCAGATATTCTGCCTCTGAAATCTCTGTCAATACACTCCATAAACAGCATTTTTTCAAAGTCACCATCCTCTTTAGCATTCAGATACAGCAATAAACTCATCTGCTGCAGCTTGCTTAGTTGGTTATCTGAAAAAGAGACAAAAAAATTTTAGCCATTATGTCTGGCCCAGCAGAGCTGACTACAGAAGCCACTTCACCAGGGCAACTGCAACAGCACATGAAGAAAATGTCTGAAAAATAAGAGAACTGAGACAATCTCTCAAAGCTATGAAAATGTCTGACAAAGCCATACTGGAAACCTCACATCTCACAATCCTTCTTAGGCTGAGAAACTGAAGGAACACAAAGCTTCATGTAGCTGTGAAAGAAGACCCCAGCTGGCAAAGTGCTCTGCAACACCTGAAGTCCCACCATCCTTTCTTGCCCAGAGAGATTGCTAATTACCATTGTCTATGACAAGTTCACATAAATAACATCCTTTATAATTTCTCTGCTCATCTAATATCAATTGATTTCATTGTCAAATGATATATCCTTCATCCAAAATAATACCTCATCGTCCTGTTTTTCAAATATGGCAAATTGGATTTATACTGTAATGCAAGCAAAGGCTGCAATATTTTTGTGTCCTCCCTCTGAATTGAGAACTACCATTAGGCTGTCTGTGCTGTATATCCTTACACTTGTTTGGTCCATATCTGGATGTTTCGCATTGTATGGATATGTTGGATATCCTGGAAGAAAATGCTTATGCTGAGGAAGCTATCTGGAGTAAAAAATCTTTGATATGATCCTAGCCAGTAACTTTTTTTTCATAAATAAACTCTTTTATATCTCCTGTAAAGTCAAAGTTCTCCTCACTAAAACAAAGGTAGGTTCAATAATCAACATAAAGAAAACTACCCTTTAAAAATAGACTAGCCCTTTACCTCGCTCATGCAAGTGTATTGCAGAGATTGATCCCTGCAGACACCTACGCCTCTCTGAAACAAAGATTAGATATAAATATCTTATTTGCAGTTCATTGTACCTCTTTGTGCCCACACTCCCTGCGAGGCTTCCAGGTTACAGGAAAAATTGGCTACTTCTCTGTTTGGGTCAGTGGCCAGTGGAGCAGGGAGCTCTTTCTGACAGACCTTTTCATACTACAACAATAATGGTGATTAATAATTTTATATTATTTAGTGATTAATTCTTTTTCCTGTTGTCTAAAGCTGTGTGCTGGCATGAGGTGGGACATTTCAGCCTGTGATGGCTCTGCACTGCTCCAGTGAGAGGTCACCAGCCTGCCCAGATGAGCAGCTGTGTGCTCTCTCCGGGCGCCTCTCAGGCAAAGCAGCCAGCAGCAATTAGTGTAACAGTATAAATTAGTATAACAATATAAACAATTTAATCAGCCTGCTTGAATTAGACCCACAGTTTTGTATAAAATGGATTACAAGAGAGCATGCTACCCTGAGAGCCGGTATCTCCAGCAACCAGGCACCAAGGGGATATCTACTTCTTCACCCCATCAGCCTCCGGCTGGATCAATTCATGTCCACAGCCTCAGGCATCTCCGGCACTTGTTCTGCTTCCTTGCGTTTTTCTCTTACTTCAGTTCCTTGACATCCTAATTCTATGCCCAAGAACAGAGCTGAATATTTTTACAGGTATTTTTGCACACAATCACCTTGTCTCATGTGCTCCACCTGTGTCCATGGTAACAACTTCCATCTTCCTCTTTGGTATAAAACAAATTTAGTTTGGTTGCAGTTTATATTTTTCACTGCTGTCAGACCCATTAACATTTCTTAAAAAATGAGTTTAAAATACAAAACACCTTCCTTGCTCATGGGAAAAGGCTTAAGTTAAATGACTGTCATGTGTTGAAATGTAAAATGAATTATTGTTCAGATCTCCACATCTCTTGAATAGCATAAAAAAGCAGTCATCAAAACAGACCTGACTTCAAAAGCCCAAGTATAAGTTCTGGAACATTCACATCCCAGTAAAATTGGAAGCAGTCCTCATTATCTGAGCAAACTTTAAAGAGGAGTAATTGTATTAAAATAACATCAACTGTCAGACACAATTGAAGGAATGAGAAGTTCTCCTGAATGTTATGTTCAAATGGTGACTGAGTCAATGCTTCTTTTTCAAACAGTTTTCACTACAGCTCAGTAATACATTTTCCTTCTCAATGGCTAGATTGAAACCAGGTAGCAATTGTACTTCTCTGAAGAGAAACTCTGTTTCTAAGAGTAATGTGTAAAGAGCAGTTGAAAATTCTCACTTATAAAGGGAAAGCTCCTTAAAAGAAGAAGAACTTAAAGACATAGAAATCAAGACAGAAAGCATTCATTTTGAAAAGTGTCCCTTAAGACAAAAGTACATTTCTTAAATGTGAAATAGCAGCATCCTGTTCTAGGATGGGTAGGTAACCTGCAAACTATTTGGTTTTGAAGGCTCATGCTCTCTCCTACCTTTAGCAAGCTCTTTTCACTTTGTTTTCTTGCACACACCTGTGGTTTACAGAAGCTTCAGTATATATAAATACTTCTCTTTCATGCATAGGCTACCTTGCTAGAAATTAAACTGATTTTCTGCTTCTCAGGATTTTATGCTGGTGCTCTTACAAGAATTATAAGCTGCTTACCTGTCATCCAACAATGTAATATAGGCAAAATAGGTTTTCCACTATTTGTATTGATTTTTCTGCTAGCTCATTTGACTGTGCAAAGCAAAGCTTTAACAACACGTGCTTGAAATTATATATTAGAAAGTATTGCCTCAGTAATTTAGTTCTGTATTTATATTCTGTAGATATCATGACACAATATGCCCTCTTTGAAAACAGAAATATAAATCACAGGAGAACAACAAAATTCTTTGTTTTGGAATCTACCATCAGAGAAAGGGTCTAACTGTTAAAAGTGAAATAAACTGAGGAAAATGAACCATATAAAAGAATTTTGGATTTGTGAGTGCCTTTGGCCCAAAAGGATTTTTTAATTGAAAGAAAATGGTTATTATACTACTGCTCAATTAAAAACAATTAAGCTTTTTCACATTGCACTGAATATCAATATCATAAACCTCTTAGAATCCAAATTTCTCCCTGTGGTATTCCAGATGAGTTAGTGAAGGATAAACGGTGCACAATCAATGCATGACTCATCCCAAAAAATTCTCTTTGTAAAGTACACCAAATAAAACCTTTTGAGAAGTGCAGAATTTGTCATAAAAGTAGAACCCTTCCAACTGCAGGAAATCAGGGATTGTCATTGGTTGAGAGAAACAGTTCTTTTAATATTACTGGTCATTGATGCACCTCTGTTCTGGTATACCAAGCAAAAAACTGAAAGTCATTTAATCAGAATAAAAAAAATTAGTTTTGCACAGGAAAATGAAAGCTGATAAACTTTAATAAGGAGAAACCTGGATTATTTGAATATAACTCTGATTGTCTTGGTGAAAAAAAGGAAAAATGAGGTACATTCCCAACTGTCTAAAAAGTCCCATTTCTTTTTATTACAATAGTCTTGACTGTAATTAGATAAGTCATTTTGCTGCCCATTTTCAGATAACATAATAAAAATATCAGGATAAGGTGCTCTTAGATTCACTGATTTCTATATACACAAGACCTATGAATAATTTTAAAATCAGTGGACTAGAACACCACAATTTTTTTAACAAAATCTTTTCATTTCTCCAAAGAAACAAGTGAAAAGTGAGCCCCTAAGAAGCCATTATTTCTACTTCATCCCAAACTTTTTTCACAGCCAAGATTAGTACCTTATACAGGCTCTTTAGTTAGTAACCCATTTCTCCAGTTTGCTTCTTGTGCATGATGCTTGGTGACACTTCCTCCAGTGCATGGGGATGGGAGGGAGGTGCCTACATGTTTTATCAAAACCTATTGCACTTTTTGGCACAGAAGAGGAAGTGCTTTCAGCATAGAGCTGTGGTTTCACTCTCTGGGGCAGTCAGAAGAAGCACTCATTTAGACACCTGGCAAACACAGTGGCCTCTGGGGATTCACTGGCAGCCAAAGTGGTGGCAGAGATTAAAGCAAAGCAATAGGGAGACAGCACCTGAATGAACAGGCTGGGGGATGTTCTCACATGCAGGCTTCTAAAAGTTTCAATAAAGTAAGAGAAGGTCCTTTTCCAAGCCATCTCTCCTGCCTTTAGTAATGGTTTAAAGTGAGAAACTGTAAACAGAGCAGAGAACTCAACTTCATAACAGATAATACATACTGTTCTGGGATACTGCAGCAGGAAAAGGTAAAGCTTGATGAAGAATGCATGAAACATCAGTAACTCAGCAACACAAAGACTCTGCCTTCTACCTGTGCTGTCTGCAGCTCTGTTCAAATTAGAAACCTTGGCCCCATCCTGTGTGCTGAGTCTTAAGCATGACTGCAGGACACAAAATGTCCTATCCAGTGAAGTGTCCCATCAAACTGGTCTGGCAGCTGCCTTGCAAGTGTCTCGATTGCTAGATGTGTCTTTCCAGCTTTCTTGTCTACCTGATCGCTCTGTTTGTCCACCTGGTACCATCCATCTGGTCTCAGCTATAGACATGGGCTTTCCCTGCATTCCCCAGATCCTGAGTGCTTGATTTGGACCTCTTGTGTCACCAGCCAATCTACAGGTTGGTTAGAATTAAAAATCATGTTCTTGGAACTCCTTCCCCAATATCATTGTTGTTCAAAGTTGTCTGGAGAAAAGTATTAATAGACTTATCTGCTGAAGAAAATTTCCGTCATGAAAGAGCCAAACACATGACAATCTATGAACTTAAGAAACAGCTTGTTTATCACATAGAAGACATTTCACTGATGTTTTTGGTACTTATTGTGCCAAAAATCTTGGGGTTTTTTTCCTTTTTCTGACTGTATATAGTACAGGATACTACATCTCCTTAGAGCCCTATTTTGCTTATATCTTATATGACTACACTATGGCAATGCTCTTTCTGAAAAATGTAAAAGCTTTCTGGGGAGAAAGGGCTCCTCTGGAGACAAAAAACTTCTGCACTCTGATGACAGTGCTTCTAAATATGGTAATTTACACACCTTCTCAGGCTTGAGGTGCAGTATGTTCTTAAAGAATTAACCTGTATTTTCAAGACTCGTA